CAACAACACAGTGATCCACACCAACACCACAGTGATCCACACCAACATCACAAAGATCCACACCAACACCACAGTGATCCACACCAACACCATAATGATCTCCACCAACATCACAGTGATCCACACCAACACCATAATGATCTCCACCAACATCACAGTGATCCACACCAACATCACAGTCATCCACACCAACACCACAGTCATCCACACCAACACCACAGTCATCCACACCAACACCACAGTGATCCACACCAACATCACAGTGATCCGCACCAGCATCACAGTGATCCACACCAACAACACAGTGATCCACACCAACACCACAGTGATCCACACCAACATCACAGTCATCCACACCAACACCACAGTGATCCACACCAACACCACAGTCATCCACACCAACACCACAGTCATCCACACCAACACCACAGTGATCCACACCAACATCACAGTGATCCGCACCAGCATCACAGTGATCCACACCAACATCACAGTGATCCACACCAACACCACAGTCATCCACACCAACACCACAGTGATCCACACCAACATCACAGTGATCCGCACCAGCATCACAGTGATCCACACCAACATCACAGTGATCCACACCAACACCATAACGATCTCCACTAACATCACAGTCATCCACACTAACACCATAATGATCTCCACTAACATCACAGTGATCCACACCAACACCATAATGATCTCCACTAACATCACAGTGATCCACACCAACACCATAATGATCTCCACCAACATAAGAGTGATCCACACCAACATCACAGTGATCCACGCCAGCATCCCAGTGATCCACACCAGCATCACAGTGATCCACACCAGCATCACAGTGATCCACACCAGCATCACAGTGATCCATACCAGCATCACAGTGATCCACACCAACATCCCAGTGATCCACACCAGCATCACAGTGATCCACACCAGCATCACAGTGATCCACACCAGCATCACAGTGATCCACACCAGCATCACAGTGATCCACACCAGCATCACAGTGATCCACACCAACACCACAGTGATCCACACCAACATCACAGTCATCCACACCAACACCATAATGATCTCCACCAACAACACAGTGATCCACACCAGCATCACAGTGATCCACACCAGCATCACAGTGATCCACATCAGCATCACAGTGATCCACACCAGCATCACAGTGATCCACACCAGCATCACAGTGATCCACACCAACACCATAATGATCTCCACCAACAACACAGTGATCCACACCAGCATCACAGTGATCCACACCAGCATCACAGTGATCCACATCAGCATCACAGTGATCCACACCAGCATCACAGTGATCCACACCAACACCACAGTGATCCACACCAACATCACAGTCATCCACACCAACACCATAATGATCTCCACCAACAACACAGTGATCCACACCAGCATCACAGTGATCCACACCAGCATCACAGTGATCCACATCAGCATCACAGTGATCCACACCAGCATCACAGTGATCCACACCAACATCACAGTCATCCACACCAACACCATAATGATCTCCACCAACATGACAGTGATCCACACCACCATCACATTCATCCACACCAACACCATAATGATCTCCATCAACATAAGAGTGATCCGCACCAGCATCACAGTGATCCACACCAGCATCACAGTGATCCACACCAACACCACAGTGATCCACACCAACATCACAAAGATCCACACCAACATGACAGTGATCCACACCAACATAGTGACTCACACCAACCTCTTTGCTTCATTAAAGAACTATCAGTGTGCTAAAACCAGCTACAGCTAAAGTATCAGAGATGCACCAATTTGTTTTTAGAGGGATGATACCGATATCTGACTGTTGCACATGCTCCGACCAGCCGATACTGATTTTGACTGATAATAATTTATCTCAAACAAAGATAATTCCCAGAATGATTTTCAGTTTCTGATAAGTAAAAATGTCTACATGGAAGATGTGTTTCCACAAACTTGTGCTTGATGAGTTTTTGAAAGAAGAAGAAAACATAAGATTTTTTTTATTGGTGCTTGCTAAATACAGACATAAAAAATCCACTTTTCAGTCTTAAATAAACAAATCACTGATTAATCCGATCAGCCTGAATATTGGCCCATTTCGATCACGGACAACTTTCTTAGGGCACAGTTAGTTTCAAGTGCTTTGTTTAATATTAAAGCACCTTTAAGGATTTTAAGCACCAGTAAGAACCCCGTCAGCAGCTTTTAACCAGTCCTGTTTTGAGTACCAGGATACTGGACTCAGCTCATGTTTCATGGATTAATATAGCTCAACGAAAACACCCAAAACACCAGAACAAATCTGAATCCTGACTGAATAACAACTTGCAATGTGAAACGCGAGAATCGGTGTGCAGAACAAAAGTGGAAAAGGAACTAATTACAAATGTCACTTCGGATTTTAAAGGACGGTTGGTGAAATGTGTAACATCCAGCAATGGTCAGTTTTTAGGTATTGTTTGACCATTCAACATCTGGTCAAAATGGAGACACGAGACTGCATGTGTTCCCTTTAAATTAGCCTGCCTTCATCCCCATCAGCTGGAGCTCAGAGCCTCTCTGCAGCTCTGAACACAGATAACGTAATGTTCTCTCCTCAAGGTCCATCCTTCTACAGGATTCTTCATGCCTTTGAATAAGGAACACTCGCAGCTCGGATCAGTTGCTAAATCAAAGAATGATTTCCTAAATTAAATTTAAATTAAATTAAAGGGCTGCATGGTGGTGCAGTGGTTAGCACTGTTTCCTCGCAGCATGAAGGTGGCAGGTTCGAAATTCGGCTCGGCTGCGGCCTTTCTGCATGGAGTTGCGTGATCTCCCCATGCATGCGTGGGTTTCCTCCGGGTACTCCGGTTTCCCCCACAGATCACAACATGCCCTACATGTTATAAATTGTAAGTCGCTTTGGATAAAAGCGTCTGCTAAATAAATAAACATAAACATATGAACTTATAAGTCCATTTTTGGTTCTTTTTAAAACACAGGAAAGGTTTTTCTTTACCTTGCTAACTTTTCGTTTGCCGACTGCAAAACATCCTCAGAGCTGACGCACAGCTATGTTGGTGTGGATCATTGTGTTTTAAAAAGAACCAAAAATGGAATTAGAAACTAAACACAGTAAGAACACACCAAAGACAAACTTCTAAAACTTATAAGCTAGATGATCATTAAATAAATGTTTGTTTATTGCTACTTATAATAATTATAATATAATGAAATGTTTTATTAATCTGTGCTCAATAATTGAAGTTTGAAATGAATGCTATGTTATGATTACTGTGATTGAAATATGTTTCAGCATGTTTATATGACAAGGTCATCACCATCTGCACTCATACAAGAACAAAGTAAGGCTAAGTTAAACTCATGACACATAAATAGCCCTTTACTCCGGATCAGAGCCTCCGGATCAAAGAAGGCGTGTTTCTGAGTTGCCTTGGTAATATTCCTCAACTTGTCAACCTCTGGTTGGCTACAAAAATCATAACATGAGAACATTAAAATTGGATCACTCTGGTGATTCATCAGTTCTAGAGAAAGCTTCAGACCGGCCATCTGAAGCAAAACCTCTTTAACCATCAAAGCTTTTGACATATCGTCAAAATCTTTTTGCACCTGCAAAGCTGATACAGCAAACAGTTCCTGCAGAACAAGCTGATATTGTTTAGAGTCCTTAAGAGTCCCAGACGTGCGGTTCCATCCATCTGTTGTGACCCGAGACATCTCTGGACTGAAGAGTCGGTGCCACGGTATTCTACAGCCCTTCTGTGCCAGAGGTCATCCGACCTGTCTGACCTTTGGATCCACCAAGAGGGTCTCCGAGAACGGGTGAAGTAGACACACAGAAAGCGTCTGATGTGCTTTTGATACTAATCAACTTCATAGCTTAACGCAAACCAAATTCTTTCACATCCAGAACTCAGCTTTTCTAGATACGGAAGTTCTGATAACATTGCATTCACACATAGGTTCATACATCATATCTAGTTCCATCCATCACAGTAAAATGTTAGTTAACCTGTCATGTTTTAATTGTTGGTAAAATAAATTCTTACTTTTATAAACCTGACTCTTTTCTGAATCAAAATGAAGTGTGTACAATCCCTTAATAAATAAAGAATCCTAGAATCTTCCGATAAACACACAAAGACCAAGCAGGGTTGATATTCTATATTTAGATAGAGTATCGCAGCTTATTGGTCATAAATAGAGGTAATATATATATTGAGCTCTTAAGGCACTCAATTTCCCAAACCCAACAAATGCAAGCAGATACTGTTCCTTTTGTGTTAAACTCTCACAATCCTCGTATGTTACTCAAACCCACTGATGCCGCCCTGGAGGCCCCTCATCCTACCCTTATTGAGCCCTCACAAGGTGAGCAGGGCTCAGACCTCCATCTTTCTGTGCCATCCTCTGTTCCTTTCTTATACGGGGTAAGAGGAAGGTGACGACTTCCTCTGGTGCCAAAAAACGTGGCATTTCTCTTTCTCGCCATGCTGATGACAGATTTACATCCCTTTAAAACATAAAACTACACACTGTTTCTCTGTTGCTTCAGGATCTAAAGCAACAGGCACGCCAGTGTCCTGAAGCCTGGATGCTGTTCAACTTATTTAAATTTAATATGAGTAGGACAGAAATGATGGTTTTTGGCAGAACAAAGTTCTCTGACTCAGCACGTCAAACCACGCGGACGAAATTAAAGCCTTTTATTCTCTGAGACGGTGATTCACGTCTTCATTTACACGCGGCTGGATTATTGTGATTTTAATCTGGTATGGTTGCTGTTTGTTTATATCCTTCTTACATCACGTGGTACAGAACTTAGGGTTTAAGTGGTATTTAAAAAAATGTATGAATAAAGTTGGATTTCTGCTACTCCTTTTTAGCATATAGCAAAAACCTGATGTGTAACACACACACTAAACTCTCACACCCATGACTCTTACCTAGGTACAGCGAAGCGTTCTCCTTCTTGACATTGTCATCCAGGTAGGTGGGTCCCAGTGTGTAGATGGGTGTAGATCCCATACCCACCAGAATCTGTGCGATGATGAACAATGCTACGTACAAGTGGTGCTCGTTGCCGTCCTGGTCTCTGGGACAGGAAGTGGTATCGACACGGTCCCTGCCACTGGCGTTGCTGTTCATGCACAGGCCCTCGTTGGCCGAGGACGAGTTGACCTCCTGGATTTGGTAGGCTGGGGAGATGAAGTGAGGTAAGGAGAAGAGAGCAGCACCAACAGCTATGAAAATCCCTCCAACAGCTAGCCAGCGAGGCCTTTGACCCCGTCCACCAAAGTAGCTGATGAAGACAACCACTATGAGGCTCCCGATGTCAAAGCAGCTTACGAGGAGTCCCGACTCCGAGCTCCTCAGGCTGTACCTCTTCTCTATGGTGGTGATGACGCTGCTGAGGTAGCCTGACACCATCAGGGACTGGATGAATGTTAGGTAGCACATGCAGAACAGGAAGCAGCGAGAGTCCTGCAAGATGAGGCTCAGGTACTTTCTACAGGGCAGGCGGATCTGAGCTAGTCTTGAAGCAAAAACACTTGGCTGCTTTTTCCTGGCCATGCTCATTCGTATCTCTGTGTTCTCCATGTAGGAGCTTGGCCTGTTCAGCGCTGACTTCCCCAGCTTTGGCGGGTAGTTTGTCCTGGATGGGGACTCTACCTGGAAAGACTCGCTCTTGGATGGGGGCTGAATGAATTCGGCGCTCTCCTCTGCTGTTATGGACAAACATATTTTTACATATTTTTCTTGGGGTCCTGGTTCATTTAAAACAGGCAGACTTTTAGATTTTGTGTTGGTGCCCGGCTCCTCAACCTCACTAGAACACCCCTCCTCCTTCTGAAGAGACTCTGACAGCTCAGTTTCCTCGTGATCTGCCATTGTTGTCACCTAATCCCTGTACATCAAAGGTTACAAAAAGGCAAAAATACAGTTCATATGTTGCTGCCCATGATGTGTATTATTAATCTGTTATTCTGCTCTCAGTCTGTGAGACAAAAAAGGTCCAGCAAACCCCACAAATGGCACTCTGAACAAAATAATACTTGCAGCTGGTTATCTCCAGTGCAGGCAGGACAGCCTCCCGCTTTGTTTATCTCGTCATGCACACTTGCCTTCTGACACATCTAATCCGGAGGTGGAGAGCGCTCAGGCCTCCTCCGCTGACCAGCGGAGCTCCGGCGACGGGGCTCCCCACAGATGCCTCCCTGAGCTCCGCGGCCGCCTGAGAAGAAGCCACCCCGCAGAGCCCGGACAGCATCCCCGAGCGTCCTGCCAATGAAGACCACGCAGTCACAATGTCACGTCCATGGGTAACAGCGCGTTCCTAACCCCACTTCACCCCAAAGTCCTCCCCGAGTCAAGGGCACCCCGGCTGTTATCACCGCAGCAGCGGTCCTCCGGGCGGACGCGAGCGGCGGTCACGTCACGTAGCGGTTCTTATTCTGCGTTCGTCCCGGAAGAGGCGGAAGGCAAGATTAAAGGAGGAGGGGAAGAGTCGTGAAGAACGGCTGACAAACGTGTAGAGAGCTGGAGTCAGTGCAGCTCACCGCAGTGCCGCTCAGAGAGGCAGGCTGGCTGTTTGTCAGTATTCAAGTACGCTCTCGTGCACTAGACAAGTACGTTCTTACTAGACAAGTGTGTTCTTGGCAAGGACACCAGAGAGTCCGTTCTACCGAGTAGGGAGGACGAGGCATTTGCAACAGAGCCCCAGTTGCTTCTGGCGACGGTTAAACGAGCTGATACAAAAATAAAGGTTTAGTTTGTTCCTTACACAACGAAATAACAACGTAAAATACTATTTGTATTATATTTGGTCCATTTTCGATCAAAACTGATAAAATACCAGCATTTCTCGCAGTTAAGTGAATTAAAAAAACGCATTTTTAATCAAAACAGAGCTGCTCTGCTTTTATTTTGAAAGTGGGTTAGCCAATTAGGATTTTGAGGGATCGTGAAAAGTAAAACCCAAATACACGCAGCAAATTTTACAGGTTACACACAATTATTTACAATAAGACAACTTAATATTTATTTAATAGTATTTCTGATTTAAAACTTTACAGTTATTAGATTTCTCCTCTGACGTTCGGACTATGACCCATGTATAACCACAGAGTATACATGAGTATAATGGTTAGACGTAATGCATTGTGGGAAACTACCGTCCCAAATCCGCAAAAGGATGCATTTGCATCAAGGGATGCATCCTCGATACAACTGGGCGGAGCAAGAACACATCCGGGAACTCTGAGCGACCTTGCCGTGATACATACTTAGGATTGCCAACAACAGGCTACAATATTGCAACGAACTAACCAACTAGATGAGTCCTGGTTAGATGTAGAACAGACACTTTGCAACGAGATAGAGCTTTTGGGCATACCATTCATTAGTTCAAGCATAAGAAGACATGAAAGCTTCAAAAGTATTAATATCAGCTCCTCTCTGACAGCACGGTGGGAAGGTCTAAAATTGACAGTCTTCACTAAAACCCTGCAGATGCACTCCCATCTGGAATGACCCGAACATTTTGTATAACAATAAAATGATTAACCTTCCTGACTGGAAGTGTAACGGAATCCTATACCTAGATTGGATTCCATGACATTTAACTGGTTAAATGATAGGATAGACTAGAATGCATTTTTAGAATATCACCAAATTAGATCTGTAGATAAACAAAAATGTAATAATAATAAAGTGGAATGACAAAATACCATCAAGGGTACTAGACTTCTTTATTCTCAATCACCCAAAACTACAATCTAAAGTACAAGACACTGCAAAATGGATGATTCAATTCCTATAGAAAAATGGGAGGGGATCTGTCAGTCAGCCATGACCATAATTTCTGGTTTAAAACCTTTACAATGACCAGGAACTCCAATTTACAATTATTTCAATACAAAGTTCTGCACAGAGTACACGATACAGGTCATGGGATGTTCAGGATGGGGTTTGTGCCGTCTGACACCTGCACACACTGCACAGACAACATTCCTGACAATTACATCCATGTACTGTGGTTCTGTCCACCTGTTCAGGGATTCTGGTGCAGAGAATGTGAAGACCTGTCAAAGTGTCTGAAACGGCATATCCCAACTTGCCTATTTGGTTTGCTGGGAAGCCGGGATGATGTCCCGATTGAAACCAATTAGGTTCATGTGGTTCTGACTGCCACATGCATCACAAAGAAAACCATCCTCATCAGCTAGAAGATAATCTTTGCATTAACCAGTGACGAAATCTATTGTTGAATCATATTACACTTGAGATGCCTCTGCCTCCACAATCTCTTTGGGCTCCTTTGGTCGGTTCCATCACATAGCGAGGATGGAGGGTCATTGATATTGTCCTACACAATGCTGTGGTTGATGTGGTGGAGGGTCAGAGTTTGGAGTATCTGGAGGTTCCCTGGGGTTGGGTTCACTGGGGGGTCTGGCTGCGACCCCACTCTGGTGGTGCTTGGGTTGGCCTCAGTGGGTGGACTTCTGGCGGCCGTGTGTGGGGCCTTGTCAGTCATCAGTAACATCAGCGACTAGTGAGAAGAATGAGCCTGTCTCTCACAACACAGTTTCTCTCTTCTTGGAGGGATGGATGACAAACAGACTCGAAGATTATCTTCCTCTTGTAAACGAGCCCTGTACTTATTTTTCATCACAGCCAGAGTTGAAAATGATGATTCACAGAGGTAGGAGGTAGGAAAGGGGAGCAATATTTGCATCAGCAGCCACTTCAGGATACTCCGTTGAGAGGGAGGCCCAAACTTTTGGTTGACTTGCCTGTTGGAATCTGGCCTTCAGGATAATTCCAAGATAATTCCACAAAAGTCCAGATAAATAAATAGCCTACATAAATTCTCAAGTCAAATTTTTACTTTCAATGGTGAATGGCCTGTATTTGACATAGCACCTTCTAGGGTCCTGGAACCCCCCAAGGCACTTTACAACACAATTACTGTAGTCATTCACCCACTCATACACACATTCACACCTCGGTGGTGATGAGCTTCACTGTAGCCACAGCTGCCCTGTGACGCACTGACAGAGGTGAGGCTGCCGTATACAGGCTCCACCGGTCCCTCCAACCACCAGCAGCAGGCGGAGTGGGTTAAGTGTCTTGCCCAAGGACAAAACAACAGCGACAGACTGAGTGGAGCTTGAACCTGGAACCTTCCGATTACGAGGCGAGCATTTAACTCCGTAAAATGGTTGCTAAAATCTTGGTGAAAAAATATCAAAAATTATTTGTGATGTAATAAGAACACATAAAATATAAAACTAAATAACTAAAATGAAACTTTAAAAACTAGTAAAGCATAAGTGCTTATGAAAAATTATGTGTAAATTGTGTTGTTTGTTCAGCAGTACTCAAATAACACAATTACAGGATGATAAAGAACATTTTCAACTAAAACTCAAAAAGCTACTTCTAATAAAATATTCAACCATAAATCAGAAATCTAAAGAAATACATGTCCCAAAATATTTTAAATAAGGTTTTAGATTATGCCTCATTAACATGTGCTGAACTAAATACATCCCTGATAAATGGTTATTTTAACTTAGTTGTTTATCATTTAGATTCACCTAACTTTTACATTTGTGGTCACATTAAACACAATTCTACTTTTCTGTAACAAAAGAAAGCAAAAACGTTTTCACACTCGAGTTTGATCTCTACTCAGATAGTCATTCAAGACTAGTCAGACTAGAGTGAAGCCCTTTTTCTGCAGGAAAATAAGCGTTAAAGAAGATCTATGACAAAACAGTGACCTCTAGTGGAGAATTCTTTGAATTAACCAAATATGGGAGAAGAATGTGTTTACTTACTGAAGACAAAGATCAGTCAGCCTGAGACTACGTTGGCTTCGTCAGCTCCATTCTACTTAACCGTCTTTGCCGTGTCTCCGATGCGATCACAAAGCCTGACTCCAGCGTGTAGCCCTCTGTGGAGGAGAGTCATGGTTTCAGAGACGCTGCAGAAGGACAGAAGACCTGCTCTGTGATCTAGATCCACTCCTACACTGGAGGACTCGAGGCTTTGATCTTTTATCTTTGTTGGGAACCACGCCTGAGACCCTTCCTGAAGCTTTCTCCATCTCCCAATAACAATGCCCCATCAGATGCTCTTTGATCAGGATCTGACCTCTGGCAGCACATCTGCCAGGGTGGTAGGGGAAACATTGCCCCGGCTTCATGAACGTCACTTTTCTGTTCTCCTCTGATAAGGAGACACAGGTGTTCGCTATGTTTGGATCCAGCGTGATTTCTTGTGAATGTTCCAAACATTCAGCTCTGGGTTTTGGCTCTTGTGACAATAAAACATCAACCTCAGTAATTTTCTGAGAAATCTTAATATATTCATCCCTGAGAAGGTCCCATACCGTATCCACTGCTTCTGAGACAACCTCAGGCACCTTATCAAAGTGCAGGTAAAAGGAATGGGTTGCCAGAAAGTGGACAGATCTATGGATAGCTGTGGGTGCAGAGCATTTCAGAAGAAATTCAGTGTGATCCTCTGTGTTTGAGAGCTGCTTCAGCTCAGCATCTTTCCTCTTCAGCTCGGTGATCTTCTGCTCCAGCTTCTCCTGAAGCTCTTTGACCCGACTCACTTCAGTTTCCTGCTGGGATCTGATCTGCTGCTTCACATCAGAGCTTCTTTTGTGGATCAGACGGATCAGCTGAGTGAACATCTCCTCACTGTCCTCCACTGTTTTATCAGCAGAGTGATTGATGGCCTCCACCTTCTGTTGAAGCAGCTTCACATCTTTCACTCCGTCCTGGATTCCCTGCTGGATTTCTTCTCAAATCAAATCAAATCAAATCAAATCACTTTTATTGTCACGTCACATGTGCAGGTACACTGGTACAGTACATGCAAGTGAAATTCTTGTGTGCGAGCTTCACAGCAACAGAGTTATGCAAAAATACAGTAATGTAAAAACAAGTAAAATATAAAAATGACTAATCTAAGTAATAATATGTATCAGTTGTAATGTATATACATTACTAAATGTTTATGCAAGTATATATATTTTTTTAATATATTGTTCTACGTGTGTGCGTGTGAGTGTGTGAGTGTGTGTATAGTGTGTATATACGTGTTTTACAAATGAATAAAGTAAACAATAAGATAAGGGATATAAAATATACAGCGGTTGGTATGTGCAAAACAGTGGCATTAATGTACAGTATGGAGCGTGTAATGTTGGAGTTTCAGTAGTGAGGGTGAGGTGTCTGTGCAGTGTTCAGCAGTCTGATGGCCTGATGGAAAAAGCTGTCTCTCAGTCTGCTGGTTCTGGACCGGATGCTGCAGAACCTCCTTCCTGATGGAAGTAGTCTGAACAGTTTATGGCTGGGGTGACTTGAGTCCTTGATGATCCTCCCCGCTTTCCTCAGGCACCGCTTCCTGTAGATGTCTTGGAGGGAGGGAAGCTCACCTCCAATAATCCTTTCTGCACGCCGCACTACTCTCTGGAGAGCTTTGCGGTTGTAAGCAGTGCTGTTGCCATACCAGGTGGAGATGCATCCAGTGAGGATGCTCTCAATGGCACAGCGATAGAAGGTCCTGAGGATGCGGTGGCTCATGCCAAATCTTTTCAGTCTCCTGAGAAAGAAGAGGCGCTGCTGTGCCTTCTTCACTGTATTTTCCGTGTGCACTGACCACGTAAGATCCTCTGCCAGATGAACTCCAAGGAAACGGAAGCTGCTCACCCT